TCAGATCATACAAAACTGATGCTAATGAAAAGGACAAACTGAATGATATAACTCATCTTGTATTTTTGGTTCATGGAATTGGTCATAAAATAGATAATAAAAAAATAATAAAAAATACTTCTCAGTATGTATACCTTACAATATTACATACTATAAAATAATTATCTTGCGTTTATTGTTTAATAATTTTATATTGCTATTATGTTTAATGTAGATTTCGCGATTGTGTCAAATGGATTAAACATAAATATTTCCAAGGTACTGAACAGAGGGCAGAGTTTTTTCCTGTGGATTGGAGATCACAGTGTAGTTTTGACGGAGGTAATACATTTAAAATAATGAAAAATGTTTCACATTATACAATATTATTATCTAATACATTACTTTTGAATGCAGGGTTAGTTGAACAGATAACGCCATTAAATTTAAAAAACATACGGCAAATTTTAAATTCGTCGGCTATGGACATTATGTACTACACTTCTCCTATATACGGCCGAGAAATACAAAACAGTCTGGCAAACGAGCTGAATAGGTTACATTCAGAATTTGTAGAACGGCACCCACACCATGACTTCAAAGTGTCAATAATGGCACATTCATTGGGTAGTGTGATTTCATATGATATTATAACCGGATGGGAACCATTTGTGAGTAGTATTCAATATTTGTTCTTATCTACTATACATTTTTAATATTTTAACATATTACATTGATTCCAGATTAAACGGAGTGACAGTAGTCCAAGAATTCATTTAAATTTTGAGGTATGTATGTATTATTATGTTTACAAAAGATAATCATAAATAATCTATCATTGTATATACATTGTTCATCTTTTGAATTAATATTTAGTTGGAGAATTTCTTCTGTTTGGGTTCACCATTGTCTGTGTTTTTGGCGTTACGTCAAAATGAAATATTTAAAGAAAACTTAAACTTGTTCCCAATGTGGTTGGCAAAAAAAGTTTATAACATTTATCATCCTACAGACCCTGTTGCTTATAGGTAAACTTTATTTATAATATTAGTTAATGAATTACATGTATTTGAAGTTTGCAAGAGTAAGAATGTTTAATATTTTACTGTATTAGGTTTGAACCATTAGTTGCTAGAGATTATTGTCGCTATAAACCTGTTGGTATTCAGGCCTATGGTATCAAATGTGATTACTCTGAGGTTCCTTTAGAACTAATTGGAAACATAGATTCTAGCTTTGAAGAGACTAATGGAACTGAAGCCAAAGCACCAGATGTAAAAAAAGAAAATGAAACATTCAGTCGTAGAATAAGTACTTGGCTTAATATGTCTAGCAGCAATGATAGTAAAGCCAATAGTTCAAATCAGTTTGAAGTTAATACTTATCCACTTTCAAGAAACAGTACACCAGTTGAAAGTATGTTATATGTATATTTTTTTTTCATATTTTAAAATGAATTAATATAATAGTATCTAATGTGAAATATTAAATATTCTGTCTAGATTTGAATCACCGGTTAGATTATATTTTGAGAGATAGTATCGGAGGATCAGCCAGTAATTACTTGTCGATGTTATATACACATACATCATATTGGTCAAACTACGACGTAGCATATTTCATTTACACTAGGTTATTCCCCGAACTAGATAAAACAATGGAAGATTTTCTAAGACCTGATGAGAAAATCCCAAATTTTGACTTGCAATTTGAACAAGGTAATAGTTCTAAAGAAAAAAAATAATTGACCACAGCTGTTCACAATGTTTTTAATGCTCAATTTTTTAAACCTAAATATACATTGTATGAATAAGAGTAAAATAAGAAAAAATATTTGTTTACTGTTTCGAATCTTTAAAGGTATTGAAGTGACTGAAGATTTGAAACATTCTACTTAAGAAGCAAATTATCAGTAACATCTAAAAAAAAATTGCCCATGTCATTTAAGTCTGCAACATTTTTATTTATTTATACTAAACAATTCATTGTTATATTTTATATTATGTTAACCGGAAATTAGTTAACACCAAATATGTTCAATGCCCAATGGTTAATATTTTTAGTATTTTATAATTTTATAATTTATTGATTCTTATGATACTATACAGGGTAAATTTCCATTACATTTCTCATCAACAGTAATTTATTATCCAGTATCTTATTTTTATCAATATATACTTTGTTCTTGTTTCGTTTTCACATATATCATATTTTAAATTTGTTCCATTTATATTTTCATATAAATATACTTCACTATTCTTTAAGTTATTTCAAGGTATAAAAAATGATAACTCAATCTCGGATGTGATATTAATTACTAAAGAATATAATATATTCTACTGAAAATAAACTAAAAATTAAATGTTATTTGTATAGTAATAGTTTTATACCTATTATTATAATATAATGTAACGTAATAATTGACACATGTTCATGGAAATAAGTGTATCAGAGTGATTTAATATTTTAAAATGTAATTTAAATGTAAAGTTGTCAACTCTTTACAATTCACCATGTGTATTATATATATATTTATAAATGAAACACATGTTCTTAACAATGTTGTGATTTATATTGGTCGATTATTATTATGTGTTAAGTAGGTATTATAGGTAGGTAGGTACTATTGTTTTATTGTTTACTAGTGTGAGGCTTTGGACATTTCTATTTGTGTTTATTCAACTACACTAAACAATTTAATAGGGTATGTGTATTGTGCGCAATAAAACAATATTACAAGTTATTTTTATAAAAAATGTATTTATTATGCAATGTTCATACTATATCTAGCGTTGTTTCACCTAATCTGTGTGCCCATTATTAGTCGTTTTGGAATACATACTATTTTAATTTTATCAAACTGTTTTTTATTGTAGTTATAATAATAATGTTTTTAGAAGACCGAAGTATAGTGTTGACTATTTATTGTTTGATAACTGTGAACTATTTTATTATACTATATTTTATAATAACCTCAGGTTATGGTTGTGATTGTTTTAATATAGTATATATATTTTTTTTACAAAATGTATATTATATTAAGACATGATTAATATTATGTTCTGTGATGTTAAAATATTATTATTATTATTATTATTACTATGATATAATATCGAATAATATTATGTACATTTGATATTTGTATTAAACATTTTGTGATTTAAATCTGTTTTTTCTTCTTTTTTTTTATATACCAACAAGCAAGCTCAAATTCTCAAATGTTCATTTGTTGTAAACAATTTTTCTAAAATATTAACATTTATTTAAATACAAAACAATTTTAATATTTAAAAACTTAAGTGGTTATCAAAAATAATGCGTATGTATAAAAAATTCAAAAATACTAATTCATATTATATCTGATATTAATTTGGAAAACTATCGTGTTTCATTAGCATTGGGCATTCCCTTATTTAGATAAACATTCCAAACTAGGTCACACTTTTATTAACTAATCTTCACAAAATAGCATTATTTCTGATACATGCTCATTCTCATAACTTATCTTCAGAACACTATGCTATGACTAGGGCTGAGATTTTAAGCCCTAAAAAGTCTTAAAAAATGCGAAAATGAATCCAAAAACTCAAAAAATACATGTCTAAATTTATTTATAAAAATGTATTACAAGTATATTAATTTACCTATATAAGATTATTAAAAAGGAAATGTATTGATTCTAAATATATCATGTGGCACATTAGTTGTACTCTAGACTTGTTGTTTAGGTTTTCAACTAATGTCCAATAATATAATAAAAATTACGAGTACCTACTGTATAATCTGTTATATTTATATAAAAATCATATTGATGTGCAAGTGTCTTAAAATAACATTTCAAATTCATATTATTTTGTTTCTTAAAACTCTCAAAAAATGCTAAAAATGCCCTAATTAATTAAGAAAAGTACATAAAACAAATTCGTAACAATGCGAGCATCGTACAGTAAGCTTTAGAAAACATTACAAAGTGCGTCAAAATTCCAGCCCAAGTTATGTTTTTTTAAAACATTAAGAGGACATAACACTTACATTTGTTGTCTGTCATACAAGTGCGTAACATAGCGAATTTACTATCAGCAGATCACGTATAGCTTGTTAGTTTAAAAAATTGGGCGAATCCATTACGAAACTCGATGGCAAGAACATTATCTGTGTTTGTATGTTGGTTTCTTACGATAGTTCAATTTTTTAGCAAGTTATATGTGTACAGGTTATCCTTCAAGGATTTACCAATAGCTATATCTCCCGAGTTAATAAATATATCACAAATCTGTATTTTTTATTACTCACAGAAACAAGGATAACATATATTTAATTTTTTGGTAAAATAGTTAAAGAATGATTTTTTTTATTTTTGAAACAATTGAAGGTATCAATTTTGTAATTTATTTTTCTGAAAATTTTAACCTTTCAACATTTTATTTTCATAATTCTTAATCATTGTTTTAGTTTATAGGTAAAACGGCACTTAAAAAATGAATTATTGCAAAAAACTAACAAACAGTAACAAACAGATAATGTCCTTACTATCAAGTTTCATAATTGGTCGATTCACTCTAATTTTTAAACTAACGTAGCTACACGTAATCTGCTGAGCATAAATTTGCTACGTTACGCACTTGTAAGACGGAGACAATAAATATTAGTGATATGCCCTCTTAATCCAATTTGCTGAGCATAAACAATTTTTTCTTTTTTAGTTCCCAATTCATCTACTTTTTCTCAAAGTATTGGTTCTTTAAAGAAATATTTTTTTAATATTTTAGAAAAAACCAACTAAATAATAAACCTTTGATATCAGTATATTAATATAAGACTGGTTATTGCACAGCTTTTTAAAATTTATTCGATTTAGTATAGTTGTCTTTAGCAGTTGTGTTTTTAAGGAGCCCCTTACAGAAATTACCTCTTCAAAAAATTGTATTTTAAAATATATCAATCATTTTATACATTATTAATATGTAAATATATATATTCTTTAATCCAATAATAAAATATAACAATACATCTAAAATATTTACAAAAATCAATAATTTGAAGAAAAAAAATACACATTTAAAAAATACACTGTACATTAAATTTATATTAAAGAGGAACTCAAACCATAATCAATGGCATAATACAATGTATAAATAAATTGTCAAATAATTATGTGACAGCAGAAATTAAATTTTTATAGCATCCATTTTTTCGACGAATTAAATCACCCCAAAGAACACGGGTTCCACATGCTGGACATTCACCATCTATTGGTATAATATGATCAGATGATCCTAAGAATCGCTTGGCGAGACACTGAATATGGGTGACTGCTTGACAATCTGGATCCAAACAATTTAGTATAGTTTCTGCACAACAATTACGTGCACACAAAACACATATTTGACTTTTACTGCTGTCTAACGAGCTGATATCATTTGGTGACACAGTTTTCTTACATACAACTGGTCCTTGACATATAGACATGTGCATGGGTGGAAATTTGTCATCCTGTGTAATTTTTATCATAATAAATATAAGTTATAAACTTATAACATTTGATACTATTTTAGTTATTTTTATGATTTATGAGTTTACTTACACTAAAATCACGTCGATAAAGCATATTCAGCCACCGGACATTTAATGCTAGACGATTCCATGGACCCACGTGCAACATTTCAGAAAGTATGCGAATACAATAGTCATAAGCCTTTTCAGTTCTCGATTTTGGTGCTACATGTTTCAATCGTCTGGATGTCTTGGGATTTTGCCATGCCCATTCAAACTGAAAAAAATAATCTGTTATTGTTAAATTCTTGAATTTCTAAGACTTACATCATACTCTTAATGCTGATATATCGTTGGGAAATCCATGTACTATTAAAACCATTTCCCTGTGAGCAGATTAATACCGATTAAAATTTATGTTTATTGTTTAATATTAATACATTGTAATCAAATCAATATGGTACCATGGCCCACGAAGACTGGTTTTTTTGGCTCCTCCGCTTTTGACACCTTTGTTGTGTTGTTTTATTCGGCGATTAGGATCCTTGGTATAGCCAATGTAAGTTTTTCCTTTGCTCTTTTCGTTTAGACAATATAGTAGGTAGACTCCGTAAAAATTTTCTATTTCTTCAGCCATAACAATATTTAGGTACAATAATTTTAAATTTGAAGTATCATACTAATACATACTGTGTCATTCAAAATTCACAAATTGATAATCTTAAATTGTGTATACATTTTTTTTTTAATAATCATTTTATGTAGTCTTAACTTAAAAATAATAAAAATACTTCTAAAGTCTTAAAAAAAAAACGAAATTTTTGAAACTTTATTATCAGTTATCGCTTATCATGCTACTGCCTACCGATACGTGTTAACGTATTATTGTTGTTGTAGTAATTCCGTGTTCAATAATTTATATTTTCATCCACGGTTCTCATGTAAATACTATTTTGATTTTCTACCATGACTGAAATGAGAGCGTGACGATTTCCAAAAAACAATATTTTTATTAATTTTTTACTGTCTAATGAAAATTGCAATGCAGTAAAAAACAACACACCCATATCTTGCCCTTATGTGGAGGGAAAGTTGTGTTGAGCATCTTATTCGGCGTTATATGTAGGTAAGTACCTACATTTGTTTCTACTTATAACTAAATATTATTAACAAAAAGTAACTCCACTATTATTTGTGTGAATAAAAAATGGAAAAGTTTAATGCACTTCAAGTTTTAAATAGTCGAACTTAATACATTTTCATAGTCAGAAATATGATTTTTATATATTCGATAAATTTATTAGGACTTAAAATTAGATACAATAAACTGTGTTATAAAACGTTAAATATGAATGTGAAAATAAATCAAAAAAATGCTGTTTGAACTTCAAAATACACTACAAAATGCATTAAATGCACTTATTGGACATATATAATATACAGTTAGTTTTTAGGATAGCTGCGTTAGTCAATGTAGTTGAAAAATAAAGAAACTTTTAGACAAAAAAAAAAAACAATATTCATTTTTAGTACGCGACGCGCTTGTTGACAGCATGGACACAATCCTGTCCTTTGTTTCTTTAACACAATTACATTACAGAAATATCGTTGTAGTACAGTTACAGAAGGTAGTTACATACTAATGATTAATGCCCATTTTTAAAGACAGTATAGTGCAATTTTAACTAAAAAACTGGGGATACTGAAGTCTCTTATTTTTCAATTATAGTGCATAAACGATATAAATTATGAGGTTAGCTTATTTACTATTTCTTTTACACACAGCCACACACTTTAATGATATCTTATTACATGCACATTGTACATTTACCTAAACTGCATGCGCACTTGGAAATTGCCGATATTTAGTTTCTTAAAAATGATTGGTACCTTGTTCTACCAGATTTAATATAGTCATTGCATATTGGTTATGTAGTACCTATAGAAAGAATATTAATTTACAATCGTTCTTATTCATACACCGTTAAGAAAAAATTAAAGAATGTCGGGTACAGAATTGAGAAGAAGACGAAAGAATAATGTGTAAAATCAGTGTATCTGGATCGATTAATAGCGTATCCATCGATATGGCTACTTCCATCCGTTCTCGCCGATTCTGAGGCTATGATGCAGCTGACTAAGAATATTATTGGGCTACACTAATATTATCCAAGTCAATTTTCGTGTTCGTTTATATAGATGAGTACCTACAACTTTTACCAAAAATGTGTAGAGCAATTTTTTTTTTCATTTACACAAACTTAATTATTATTATAATTACAATACTTCATAATTTACAGTAAGTTCTCGTCGCTGAACAGTGTACACCGTTTTTATTAAACTTTAGCAATGAACTTAATATTATGCGCAATGCTTATTATAATTGAATATTAATTTTGATATTATTGAGGGTCTAAAGGGATTGGATACAGACTGAGAAGTTGAGTATATTCAATTTATGTAGCAAGTACCTACCTGCGTCGTACGTGCGTGCAGTATGTTGTGTTAGTGTAATGAATAGTAAACATAAATACTTAATATTATAGAATTGTACATTAATATTTTACCATTTATCTGTGATAAGTACTAATTATAGTAATAACTAGTAAATTATCAATATATTATAGTGTGAGTGGTGAGAGGTTCAATTAAAGGAAATTATACTTCACTACTCATAGACCTTATACTTTAGTATAATATGCCAGTATTCCACACACGCAAGTACAAATAAATATCCTTTGAGCGCTAAACTAATAGGTGTTAATTTTGTTTTTAAATTTTTAATCTTTGCTAATTTTATTGACGGGTGAAATACGACTGAGGGAAGCTTTACACCCCCCATGATAAAATGGGTACCTTGATATCATGTAATGATATTATATTATATTATATGATATTAGCTTACTAGTTACTATTGTGGCTTTACCTTTTTCTCATCACTATTGAGGACTGCGACTGCCACTATATTACGACAAAAGACATTATTATTTTGTATCCCTAAAAATGACACGATTCAGGACGAAATTTAGTGAAACGTTGCTAAGCTGTGTGACGCAGTCTGCTGATCTTATCGTCTATCAATTTTATGATCAGCTTATTGTACAGAAGTCTTAAGTGAGCAGCGACTATACAATGGTTTAAGATCTTTACAAACACATGGATTTTTCATTAAAACTTGATAATATTTTAATATATTTAATACAAAAAATTGATAAAATTTGAAGTGTTTATTCCTGTCAAGAAATTGCTAAAATTGAAAAAGTACTTCTATCTATGCAAAGTAATCTTGTTCCTAGTTAATGCATTTTTTAAATTAGAAATTTAGAAGTACTTTAATTGTTTTCAGGCTTAAAGCTATTTCACGTCCATACATTGATTTTGAATATTTTTATCTAATGACTAAAATTAAACATGTTCATACGGGTGCGTAATATGTATGTATGATGCGGGTGATTAGCGAGGAGTATACACAAACGAATGATCATTTACAACACACAACAAGACGAGCAAGATTGAGCAAACAAATTTCAAAATGTCACGTTGGCAAGGACCTTAACTCTTAAGATAAATACGTTAAGTATTTAAGTATGTATCTCAGACTACGGACTACACAATTTTAATAATAATACAAATTATGATAAGTGATAATTAATATACCTATTGGGCATTGGCTATTAGGTAATAACATTGACATCGTACTTCTATACAGTCTATACAAGAATTTACTCTTTACCACGTTTTGATAAAATGATTTGTATAGATTTTCCACCATTTAAAATACAAAAAAAAATCACTAAATAATAATATTAATTTAAGGCGTACCTATAGTTAACAACTTACGCGTGTGCTATAACTGAAGTATTCAATTTCAAATACTTGTAAAATATCGTGAGTTTACGTTTAGTACGCTCAGAATTTTCTCATTATCAATGTATAATTTATAAACTTGGAAACATTTGTCCGCAATCGTGTAATTTTCAGGTGTTTATAATATTGATAATCAGTCATTGTAACATTGTAACAGCCCGCAATCGTGTGTCATCGATATTGACTACTAAACCCTTGCACCACCTTCGCCTATCGTGCGATTTTCCGTGGTTATCAGCGATGACCTGAAATTTTACTTCGATCACTTGGAAAGGTTAACAGTATCCATATCGTTAAAATAATAACCGATCATAGGGACGGATACTCAGAAAAATATTGACCAATAATGAATAGACGACAAAAAGTTAGAACGCTGTCGCGGGTAGATGAGTTTACCAATGACAACAATGTTGTGTACTCCTAATATTGCAATGTATCGACACAGATTATTGTGTTGTAGCAACCACTGCCAACTGCATTATTTTTTTTTAAGTATTTAAGCGTAGAAAATTATTCCAGTAACTGGTATATAGGTACTGTGTTTAGTCTTGGTTATTACAATTTTTAAAGGAACCATTTTCATAATGTCACACATCGTTTCCAGAACATATTCATCAAACATCAAACGAATAAACATATTCAGATAAAACCATAAATTACACTATAACTTTAATAATAAGTGATGTAAAACGTATGTGTGTTTAAAGTATATATTATAAACAAACAGACGACAAGTTTCAACATACTCCCGACCTCCACCCCCATCACAACCGGAAATTCGTCTAAGTCGCCTGGTGGAAACTGTAAGGCTGATCTTGAGATTTCCACGCTATTTAACACGCCGTATATATTTAACAAGTGTGAATTTACCTGCCATTCCATCCTGCAGAATGATCGCTGCACGCACAGGCTGTACGCGTATTATTTCAATTGACTGTCACACTCACACACAATGTACACATATACCCATAATATGTGCGTGTGTGCGCTTGCATGACCATAAGTGACTCGGAAGAAGAGTATCGATAAATACATTATAAAATGTATAAAAAAAATAAAATAAAATTATGCGTTTACGATCTCTGTTATAGCGTATACCACGCTACCACGGATCGCGTTTCGTGTCGCCCCTCACGGTCACTTTCACCGGGTGTCCTTTTTATCCGCTCGCATGTATAGCATCTCTTTCCATTTCTATTTGTTATTTTTATTTTTTTTTTGTATTTATTTATTTGTTTCTGACGTGAAAGCGCTTCGTCTATTATAAGGTCTAGAAGACGACCCCTGCGGCCGTTCGCTGCAGCAATAGACTTCTGTCATATTATATCCTTGGACTTATGTAAATTCATCATACTCATCTCGTTATTGTTATATAATATAAGTATTAGTCGTTAAATGGGTATATAATAATGATGACGATAATAATATCTGCTGCAGGATTTCCATACATTATAGAGCGGTGAGAAAATCAAATCGTTAAACAAGAGACGTTCGCGCCTCACCCTTGTTCGCAACGCATGAAGTACAATAATACATAGATTTCTTCTTCCTATAATATTTTATAAACGCCGAGTATATAATAAAATACTGCAGCAGAATTTTGGTAACTAGAACCCTATGATGGGCTACAGTGGAAGGAAAACAATTGTTATCGAAAACTGTGCAATATAATATTAAAATAACATAGGTACCAATATATCGATGTATATGTTGAAGTGGGTACAGATAATATTTCGAGGGATTTATATTTCTCTGAATATCTTTTGAGAATTCAGAACTATCGAGTTTCGATAGGCACCTGCTATATTATTGAGATCTAATAATAACCATGTTATAATAGGTATTGCATTTATTTTCTTATATTATTTAAATAGAAAACTCGCAACAGGTCAATTCGTGTTTTATTATAATGTCGAACCAAAACAGTGTCTAGAAAAAAGTACAGATACTGTGCGGCG